CGCTCCAATTGTAGTTGATACTCACGTTCATCTTTCTCCTTTTGATGAACTGCAGCTCTCCACATTGCAAAGCTTGTTAATCGCTCACATATTTACGTAAACTATCGTCTTTATTACCTAGTCTTTCTCCAACAGAAATCAACTGTATCACATACTTCTACTATACACAGTTCTAAACTGTTAACTTTGGTTGACACAATTGGTAATGATTTCAACTGATTTACTATATACATCATAACCATGACCAATGAATCTCAACAACACACTCTGAAGTAGCTTGGCAATCAGTTTTAAAGGAAGACTTCTGGATCGCATATAGACAAAGATATTGTCCTACAATTACAGCAATAGCAATGAAACAGCAAATGTCGACCTAGAAAACGCAAAGATTTTCAATATCTTTTGTTTCATTAGAATATGAATTTAGAAACTGGCATACATCATGAAAGATATATTTTAAATTATGCCTAAACATTTCAATGAAATATTTCTACAAAAAAATGCTCCTCTCAGGTAAAGGAATCTTACAATTCAGCTGTCAGCGCAATTTTGACGACTTGAAAACGTAGCTTGCACTGTTTAATTTGTTCTGGAAACTGTTCTTAAATAAAATTTTTTTCAGGGGGACTTATGTCCGAAAAGTCTTTGTGTGAAATTTTCAAAACATTGACATTTCTTTATTTATTGCCACTTGTGTTTAACTTTCAGTAACTTTATATGTTATTTTTTTTTACACAGGAGCACGTGCAAAAATAGTTTAAAATGTAAAAAAAAATAGATAATTTTCAAAATTGTTTTTTTTTTTCAAAATCTAATGCGCTATAAAGAACAAAAATAAAATAATAACATTCAAAATCAACATGTATTTAAACTAGTTGATTTGTATTTTTAAAATGACATTGTATTTATTGCAATTTATCTTTCATGATAAATTATAATGGAACACAATGCAATTGCAAGTATCACCCGATTTTTCTAGTGGTATTTTTAACAATGCCGTCATGCATAATAGGTAATATCTTAAAAAGTTATTTGTGTGAAAATGTTGTAATTCATGTATTATTTTTTTTTTATCTTGATAAAGAAAAAAGTATACCTTAATGATATAATAAACGAGAAATATGAAGTTTTCTTTAAAGTTAATACTCGTGTATCATTAATTTAACCCTTCCGCTCTAAGAAAAAGGTAAAAAAAAACAAACCATTGATTAAAGCTTTTCTTGTTGCTTCCAGTCATTTTACTGCGACCCACATTCCCCTTCAACAACCAAGAATTACTAGAAGTTAAGAATTTCACAATTAAATTTATTAATCAATAATAAATACGAGTACGTTTTTTACAATGCTGATCATAAACCTGTCTGCTCTAATTACTTAACAGCGGTATTCACGTAGGCCTACATTTCCTCTTCATTTTTGTGGTCTACCTTAAACCCCTTTAATTTAAATTGAGATAAATCTGATTCCCATACTTATGTTTGTTTTTTTTCATAATAAACAACTCATTTCCCTTTGTACAGGAGTCATACCCCACTCAACATAGTGTTTCTTGATAATTTGGTGCTCTACATTACCGCTCAATATCACCATTTTTCACAATGTTTAATTCAAAGTTCTTTGGCAAAAATCGTCATAGATTAGTCAATAGTCAATTTAATGCTTTTTTTATATACAGGTACATCACATAATAGAGTATTTATGTAGGTAAATTTTGTGACATTTTATATCCGTTTAGTCTGATAACAAAGAAAACTCCATTAACAGAGTTACATGTATTTGAAAAAGGCAGAAAATTGTCATTTGCTGACCACCTAATATTCAACACTCTTCAAATGCTGATTTCATATGCAAATGGCAATTATATTTGCCAATTATATTTTGTCAAAATAACAAAAATATAATCTTCCAACAGAATTAAAAAAATATCATTAGTTTTCATTGAATAGTATTTGAAATATTCATACAGTTATCGTTCTTCTGGGACAACCTTTGTATAATGCACAATATAGTATTACTCATCACATATTATACTTTGAGCAATGTCTTCTGTAAAATTTGTATAAATTGCTTAAAATTGGAAAAAAATGGCTCTTTCAGTGCAATCTTATATTAGATGTACCTGTGTTTTGAGACTGTCCGTTAAAATATCTGGATGGTAGATTTTCCCTGTGGCATGTCGCATTAAAAAGGGATTTCCCTTAGAAGTTTTCGCAAAATAAAACCCCAGTGGGCACCTTTAATTGCTTCTTAACATGACAAGAACGTACCAGTGGTTTAAAGTTAGTTTTTTTGCTCTTTTAGAAATTAACTTGCCATTTCATCAAGAATTGTAGCATTGAATGTAATCGTTCGACTTAGAAATATTTTTTATTGCATTTAATCGCAATAATTATTGCGTTTAAAAGCAAAACATTGCGTTTAAACGCAATATTTTGCGATTTAATGCAAAGTGCTTTGCGTTTAAACGCAATGATTATTGCGATTAATCGCAATGTTTTGTGTTAAACGCAATAATTATTGCGATTAAACGCAATAAAAAATATTTCTTTCTCTGAACTGGCTTCATCAGGCTTCCGTAGTCTAGAGATAATGAGCAGTATTAAAGTTCAAAGCATTGAAAGTATGCAAACTGAAGCAGAGCTAACATAAAGTAATTTTATGTTATTCGTGAAAAAAGTGATATCCTTCCTTATTGGCAGAGTATAAATTCATCCCTAAAAGCCCGCTGTGAGTTGTCAATGGTGTAACAAGCTAGGGATACCGGTATTTATTTAAGACATTATTGTGGGTTTTTAAAGATGTTAAATGGTATCAACATTGTAATTATATTACACACTTGCACATTTCTCCTTAAAAAATCAACATTTAGTAAGTATAATAATTTTCATATTTACATCAAATTTTGGAAATTCTATACCGTATAAGTGGAAATTTTTGCGGTACGCAAATTAAACGATTTGTCTTTAAAATTGGTGTTTATTTTTAGCGAGATGCAAATTTGGCGATTTTAAAATGTTCACTAAAGAAGCTATTACAAATAAAACGCAATTAATTTTTAGCGTTATGAAATTTTAGCGTTATCAGCTCCCTCGCTAATAATGCCAAAATTGAAACCTCGCTAAAAATTCTACTTATACGGTATTTTTTGTAGATGCCTTAGATTGATAAAAATTGGTTTCGGTAAATTTTTCAGGAAGAAATTTGATACCTCTCGAACATTTAATGTTGCCAGTAATAATAAGATGTTTAAAATACCTATTAAGGAAGAGCAAATGAAATATATTAAAGAAATAAAAAACGATATTCAGTGAACCTGGCGTTATGAATAGCAATTGTTCTGCTGGGATATTCCATGATGCGCACTAACGTGCTTCATGGAAAATATGCGAACAGAACTAGTACTTACATTTGCATTCTTTGCTTGGCTTACATGAGGACAAAACTTTCTGACTTCAGTAAAGAAAAACACACAGCTATAAAATCAGTAGAGCTAATTAATACAGTTTTCCTTAAGAAATCACAAGACAGATATAGAGATAACGAATAGTATTCATTATCAAAGTCCAGAAAACAATACAAAAGAGGAGCAGAGCAAACACGGTCCTTCAAAACATCAGAGGTGGGATAAGGTGCCATAATTAATTTTCCCTTTATTTCCCGATCACGACAAGGAGCACACGGCGGGACTCACTCCTCCATGGCACCAGATCCCACCGTGTCCGTGTTTGCTCTGCTCATATTTTGTATTGTTTTATGGACTTTGAGATTGAATACTGTTCGTCATTTCCATATCCTTTTCTATATAGAAGAATGAAAAATTCTCGAAAAAGGAGCTAGTACAAGATACAATCAAGCACAATGCAAAAAAAAAAATCGTTCATCGCAGTAAGTACACAAAAAAAAGAAACATAATTGGAAACTTATTAATCTGGAACCTAATATTCTTAATAATTTGTCTGAATCTTTTTTCTATCTGCTTCATTCTTTGATATTTTACTTGAAAAAGACGTTAATGATAATCTAACATAAAAATGATGACTTTAACTTCGTCGTCAACTTCCCTTACTAATGAAGCAATATACGTACATTCATAACCTGAATACGGTGTTTATATATCTCAGTTGATTCTATACGGAAGAGCATGTTCTACGTATGAACATTTCTAAAACAAGGAAAATTATTGACAAACAAGTTGAAGAAACAAGAATATCAGCAGTCTCGTTTAAAGTCATCATTTCGTGACTTCTTTGGTCGATACAATGACCTTGTCAGCAAATACAATTTATCATTGAGTCAAATGCGGACTGATGTTTTTTCATGCTGATTGTTGTCCATTATTTATACACTGAGTTAACGACGGGTTATTCCGTTTTTTCCCGATCATGACAGGGAGCAAACGGTGGGTGTGACCGGTCGTCATGGTATGCTCGCTCCTCCATGGCACCTGATCCCACCTCTGATGTTTTAGAGGTCCGTGTTTTCTCTGCTCCTATTTTGTATTGTTTTATGGACTTTGATATTGAATACTGTTCGTTATCTCCACATTCTTCATTCCATAATAAACACAAAACGTATCAAGAAAAATAGTATGTTATTACATTTTGCGTATATCTCGACGCAAAATCTAATAACGCAAAATGTAATAATTCAAAAATTGTTTATCAAACTTTGCCTCGAGATGAACGCGAAATGTTACATTTTCCCGTTTAACAAAGCAATGAACCCATACACGGATCGTGACTCAGGATTAGAGATTCGGGAGTTCAGCTGTCCTAGGGCTGTATTGGCAATGAGGAGCATCCCTCTTCTAAAATGGTGAAATTCATTGTCACTGGGTCAGAAGTTTTGGAGTGAAGATGTTCTCTATTGATGCAGCTTGATGTCATAAACATACAGTAGTTCTTCTCCTCTGTTTGTAGATATAATAATTAAATTATAATGAGCTGTTTTAAAATAAAATCAAAATTTAAATTGTTGAATGAATTTTATTTTATTTAGGAATGACTCAGACTCAGGAGTATACCGTCTCACTATCCCCGACATCAGCCATGTTAAACAAGGGAGAGAATCTGAAGGCCCTGTGTAACATACCCGGGCTGTCTAGCCTTGAACTTATCAGTACGCTCAAGGTCAGGTGGTACCACAATAACCGCCAGCTGACCAGTCTCTGTGAATTCGAGGAGCCCTCTATGACAAACAAGTATGCCTGTAGTGTGCTCTCCCCTCAGGCAAACAACATCAGCTTGGAGTTTACCTTACTGGGTGAGTTTCCAAAATGCATATGTTCTCTGAAACTGAATGAAATACCTTTTTCAGGTAGGGATGAAAAAACTTAGATGAAATCAGGTTTATTTCTAAGTTTTCCTTTCAAGAGGATGGTAATGTGAAAGAGTAGAAAAAGATCAAAAGTAAGATCAAAGATAATTTTCGGAATTCTAAAAAAATGCATAATTTAGAAATATAGATGTCTTTGATAAAGTTTTGCCATTAAATAATGAGAATGAAGGCTAATTTCTGCTGAAGTCTTTTTGAATCATACAATTCTTAAAATTCACTTTTAAAATGTTAATAAACACTGAAAAACTCAAAAAGCTTACCATTTAGTTATTTTTATCTTAAGATATTACTTTATATATAATAGGCAAAGAAAGATAATTCTGATTTATACATATGAGCGATGAGCAAAGAATTTTCGAGATAAAGAGGAAATAGTATCGATGACGTTACAGACGTCTACACTCTCCAAATAATTTTTTTTAAACGTTGAAACACTTTCTTCTATATGTAAGCGCACGTTGGTTACCTAATTCATTGAATAATAATTTTAAGTTGCCAGTGTATTAATGTATAATTTTGAATCGACAATTATTGATTTTCACATGTATATAACTTCAAAAAATATGCAATATTTAAGCATTGAATTCTCAAATGCAGACAACTTTTATTCTCTAAATCCTCTCTATGATTTGAATTTCTTGATACTGTAAACCAACTTTTATTCGCGTGCGAGAAATTTTCGCAACGTTCGCGACAGCCTCGTCATCGCGAATATTTCTCGCCGCGATCCGGTACTTAAAGCTTGATCGCGAAAATTACTTTATCCCTGGTAAATTGCGAAATAATATCGTCGCGAATAAAAGTTGGTTTACAGTATAAATATTTGTTTTTGCAAGAACAAATAAAAAATAAATAATAATATTATAGCTTCGCTGCCATGGGGGTAAATCTTTCACCTCACATAGTCCATAATAATTACCCCCACATGGCAGCACTACTGAAGGACAGACCCCTTCAGATAGTCAGACTATCATTATCACAAAGCTATCGAAATATCATAAAACCATTTATATATAAGGTTTACATCTAATTTTTTATAAATCTCATTTTGATACATGAGGTTTGCATTTACATACATGTAATACAAAATATCATTTATATTTTCTTCTCTGTTTTCATATCTTAGCTTCATTTTTATCTTATATATAAAAATGTTATGTAAGATAATAGATAAATCAGTAAAATAGTAGTTTTGTTTTCTTCACATAAAAATCCCAATAAAATATTTTTCCATTTTCATATTCAGATTCAGACGGTGTTCTAGATTTGCCCAAATCATTTCTACGTTTCTATAATAAAAAAAATTGGTGTTTTGTATCTTCAAGTGATTCACAAAACGAACATTTACTCGATACATTTCTATTCCATTTTTGAACATTTTTGTAATTATTAAGTAGATTTTGTAATAGCTTATAATGAAATTCTGCGAACTGTTGTGAATGTGTTAACATTAACAATGTTTAATTTACTATTCATTTTCTATTTTATTGTGATTTTCTGAAATTTTTATTGTATGTATCTCATAAGTGTAATTGTTTATGTGTCCGTTTTTGTCAGGTCAGAGTTTATAGTGTATTTTTAGTCCGTTTCCGTTTTTGTCCGTTTGTTTATCTTTAGTATTGTTTAGAAAATAGGAAGTAAGTTGAGCAGAAGATAGAGATGTAGATTGTTGAATGCAAAAAGGCGAAAATATCACGGGGCGAAAATAACCATGTTTAAAGTATAAAGCAGTTGAGAGAGATAAGAGCAGATTTAGGAGAAATTCCAAGGTGTCAGATTCCAAGATATACAGGACTATCAGGAGAGGTGTCTTACAGACTTTTGTGTTTTTGTGATGCATCTGCAAAAGCATTTGCCATTAACCTTCAGAGGACAACTACCAATTCAAGCATCAGCAACTTAGTATTTTCTAAGACTCGTCTAGCACCGACAAAAACAATTACCATGCCTCGTCTTGAACTTCTAGCAGTTCTAATTGGAGTAAGGAGTCTAAACATCGTCCAGAGTCAACTAAAATTAACAGTGTGTGAATAAATACTCTAGACAGACTCGCAGTGTGTTTTACACTGGATAAAGACTAAGAAGCCCTTGACAGTTTTTGTGGAAAACAGAGTGAAGGAAATTCAGAAGAGCAGTGACCTTGAATTTCAATATGTGACTTCTACTGACAATCCAGCAGATATTGCTACCAGAGGTAATACAGTGGAAATATTGAAAGAAAACAGACAGTGGTGGAATGGCTCAGGATGGCTGAAAGAGAGCAAAAGTCAGTGGCCGATATGGAATCCATTTCCGAGTGAAAATCACAGTGAAGCTATTGCGTCAGAGTACAAGAAACCTAGAGTGTTGTATGAAACCAAACTGTTAGTGGGGGAGGGTCCTCACGGATGCTCGGAGACTCCTGCTTAATGTAATAACCCCCTCGGCATAGACGACAATCACTTTTCATCTTTCACAAAGTTAGTTAGAGTATCAGCATGGATACTGAGATTCATCAGCAGACTTAAGAAGGAAAAGTCATTCTCTGGTTCATTGACTGCACCAGAACTGAGTGAGGCAAAGATACTTTGGATAAGGAGTATCAAAAATCAGAACTATAGAGAGGTAAAGAATGCTTTAACAGAAGGAAAGAGGCTTAACTTACTAGTAGTTAACCAACTAGGACTCACTTTGGATGAAGACAAAATTATAAGATGCGTTGGTCGACTTGGAGCTGCCCACCTGACTGAAGGAGCTAGAACACCAATTTTACTGCCAAAGAAAAATCATGTGACAGATCTACTCATAAACAGTTACATGTACCACAGAAAATCATTTCATGTTGGAATATCTCAGACACTATCCTTAATCCGACAGACATATTGGATTCCTCAAGGATGTTCTCAAGTGAGAAGAGTAATGCAGAATTGTAGTATATGCAAGCGATATGAAGTTGGACCATACAGAATGCCTGTAATGCCACCCTTACCAAAGAAGAGAGTGAATGAGGCTTCGCCATTTATTTACACTGGTGTAGACTACTTCGGCCCTATTTATGTGAAAATAGACACTGAGACCAAGAAAGTGTGGGTGTGCCTTTTCACATGTTTAGTCACCAGAGGTATCCATCTTGAGCTTATGCAAGATATGTCAACTGAAGAGTTCTTTCTTGGCTTAAGAAGATTCATTGCTCGATGGGGAAAACCGAAAGAACTAATCTCTGACAATGCTTCACAAATTAATTGGCAAGTAGTGTGCTAGAAAAATTTGGACGTCAACAGACAGGGATCCAGATGTGCAGAGTTATATCGCAAACGAAGATATCAAGTGGCAGTTCATAGTCGAACTAACCCCATGGATGGGAGGCATTTGCGAGCGTCTCATTTGAGAAGTGAAGAGATGCCTACGGAAAACTATTTGGAAACCGTGTGTTATAAGTGAACAACTAAGAACTCTATTAGCAGAGACAGAGGCAGTTGTTAATTCAAGGCCATAAGTTTATGTGGGAGTTGACATAAATTCTAACATTACTCTCACACCAGCCCACTTCCTGACACTGAATCCTAAAATTGGTATTCCTGATAATGAAGAAGAAGTTACAGAGGATACAAAGTATCTACCTAACATCAGCAGTGCTGAGAAGTTATTATAGACATGGAAGAAGGGACAAAAACATGCCATTTCGAAATCCTGGCGAGATGACTATCTCCTGAGCTTGCGAAAAAGAACAACATACAGATTGAAGGAAGGAAGAATTCAACACAGTAAGCAACCAAGGATTGGAGATGTGGTGTTGGTTAAAGATGAACTTCCGCGTGGAAGCTGGAAAGTAGCACGTGTGTGTGAACTGACCGTTAGCAGAGATGGACAGATCCGTTCCGGAAAAGTTTTACTTACAAATAAGAAGACCCTTAATAGGCCACAAAATCTTTTATATCCGATCGAGTGTTCAAAGGAAACAGAGAACAATTACAGGAAGGATCAAAGTACCGAAATCTATCCTACTTTTTTGTATTCCGTTTCCGTCACACCATGTGGATCCTTGTTTTTCTATTTTTTTTTTTTTTTGCTTTCCATGTATCAATCAAAGAGGGTGTTGCAGTTCTTTTGTAATTTTCCCTTAATGTGTAGCAGATTAAATGAAGAATTTTTATTTTGCAGAAACTCGTATTGATTTTTTTCAAATGCAAAAATATATAAAGCACAACCAGAAACAATATTTGGAGCTGCGTATTGACTTCTAATTTGCCATTAAATGTGAAATCCCCATTGTTCTGAAACAGAATAATTTTGATATATACACAAAGAGGCAGGATTTTTCTTCAAAACTGCCACTTCCGAATTTGTTTCAAATAGGCACAATTTTGAAAAACGCAAAAAATGAATAAAAATTATTCTCCAAACGAAAAGCAAAATGTGTACATTAAATAGCACTGAAATACCATCGTGTCCGAAGTGGTCTAGTGGATATGCTGGCGGGCTCCCCATTAGAACTTTTACAGGGAATGGGTTCGAATCCTGGAATGGATTATTTTTGCGTATTTTTTTTCGTTTTTCGTTATTTTTTCCCATAACTATGTAATGGTATAGTGCAATGAAATTATATACATTTTGAAAGAGAAGTGGGGAGGGGAATGTCAAGAAGTTAATCGAATAATAACTATATATATGAGAAATGCAGGATTAAAATTGTGTTGCTTGATATGCTGTGATACAGAACTAATGATTTATTTAGTTTAGCCTTAGATAATAAAGTTACTTTAATGTTTAAATAATTTATTTTTAACATACGGTAGTTATTGCAATTTTGAATAATTCTGGTTGCTTAGTTAGAAACAAATGAAATGCCTTGGATGTAGCACAAACAGTGTGATTATGGGACGCAGTTTTGTCTACAGTATATCTTCAAAATGCTGCTTTAGCCATTGTGCTTTTTGTTGTTCCAA